ATAGCATAATAAGGAAGAGTCGTAAAAATGTTGTTCCGTTTCATCTCATGCGAGCAATATTAGGACTCCAATCTAACCTCTATTTGATCATACCTCTTCCCTCAATATTCGCTTATGATACTCATCACGTCTTGTATTTTCTCTATCTTTTTCTACACCCATAAACCATCCTCGTGAAACATCTTGAACGTTATTATCATGTTTTAGCGGTCAAAATAGCCCCTCCATTATTCCTATAACTGTCCCATATCGTTATGTGATGGATTAGTAAACTGATAAATAGTTTAGATTTTCATTCTATATAAAATTCATAACACTTCACACTCCCTCTAATTCTATCTTGTTCACCTCTGTTAACGAAACCATAAGAAAATTATAAAGGTTTCTCATCCAATAATAATGCTAAATATTCCTCATACTTTTGGTAAAATCGATTAACAGTGTAATTAGTAGTTAATGTACAAATTACTAATTAGATTTTGCTTGTTTCATCTTCACGAGTTTGTACCTAAGAGTGAGTGCAAACAATGATTAGTAACTAATCCCAGAGATTTCTTCATCTTTCATTTCTCTGTTCTTCAGCCATTTATCTCAACAGAGTAACACTAATCACGCTCTCGAACCACTTTCATCTGATGATGGCAGCGACGATTTGCCCGCGTCCGGGAAGACGCCCGACATCCTGCCTCCGGTATTTCGTTGCCATGAGCATCGTTTCCCCGGTGGATTGAATACCAGCCACCCTCATTCTCATCAGCACTCGCAACAAAGTGCACACCAACAGCAGCGTCGACCAGTGCGCCTAACAGATCGTTGTCAACAGGATCTTCTAGTTTGTGTGCTCCACATTATTTCCTCCATCTCAATCAACCAACTGACTGGATTAATTCGAAGCTTAACGATGCAAGAACGGATTGCTTTTCTGAACATGCTTTCGTAAGTTAGGTTGTCTATTCCAATACTATATTTATTTTAAAAATAAATATAAATTTAGCGATTAACTTTACACTGCCTTAATGATATATACAGATCACCGAGGCATCGATGTGCCCAATAATAACTTTAAAAATGCAAATATTATATCGAACGAATTAGCCCTCCCTAAATTACTTTAATTTTAATTTGATGATTGAAGGTGATTTTACTGTTTTCGATGTTATGAAGCTTTTTTTGCAATTGAAGATATGAAGACCATGATGTTGTGGCCTCTTGTATTGTCGTATTCCCCTTTAGATTTATATAAGTGGGTTGAATTGGTCTTGTTGTCAGGGCGACTTAGTAGAACGCACCTAGTCCGAAGTCGTCTGCCATAGTAGTTGTCATAATTCCAAGCATCAAACAATGGACTTGGTGCATTCTCAAACGTTTCGCCGGCATCGTAGTCAGCATCATCAGTCAGTTTTGCCATTCTCCGCACCAAGCTACGAACTCGTCAAAGAGACAAGTGAAGTCAAATCTTCCACCAACGTTCTGCCAAAGACGGTTACACTAGCACTCTTCCTTCTGCCCTGTCCTATCTATCCACTCTTTAACCTATTATCCAACTCCCGCCCTATCACAACTCCTCACTTGTTTACATTCCACTCGTCAAATTGTGTGCCCTTTTGTGGCGTCCCATTAGAGCGAATTCCTTCAACATCCAGAAACGGTAACCGCTCAGCTTCCTTTACTTCCATCTTGAATTGAATCTTTGCATCAATCTGGTTTACAAACTTCAGAAACTCTTCGAGCTTTTCTCTTCCATGTGACCAAGGTGCGAAATAATCATCCAGCTACCGCATGAGCACTGCCGGTTGTAGTGGTGCCATCTTAAACTTCTCTTCTATTTTGTTCATGTATGCGTTCGCCAAAAGTGGTGAGAACGGCGATCCCATGGGAAGTTCAAATTTTGTTTATAGATGTTACTGTTGAATGTAAAATTGGTTGTCCTTATTTCCAAGTTGAATAGTCTTGTTAGCTACTCCCTCCTGATCAGTTGTGATTCCAGGATATCCTCTTCTCGGTCCAGGATTTCCATCAGGGCCGTTAGCGCATTTTCTCTCGAGATATTTGTCTACATGGATTCCACATTGAAACTTACTAATAAGTCCGT